TCTCGCCCGCCTTTCTATCTCATTGCTCGATTCCCCTTTCATTCTCTGTCTCGCTGCTCCTATTTCCCATGCTCGAGGACTTCTCCAGGGGCCGAGCTTGCCCCACGCGACGCTCACATCAAGTTCGGTAGTCGCCAGAGCCTGTACCGACAGAACGCAGACAATGACTCTCTCTCTCTCTCTCCCCCCCTCTCTCTCTCTCTCTCCGTCTCTCGTTCTATCTCTCTCTCTCTCGGACTTCCCGCCACCTTTCGGTATCGTTCGAGCTCGCCGCTGGGACCCCCCCCGAGCTGCCACCAGTAGGGTGCACATGAGTAATTTCTCTAGTCAGCAAGGGTTGCGCGAAACGTCACAATACAGCACACACGAATTCAGATGTATACAACGCAGCGGTGGTTACGAGGAAGGCCGCCCCACCGCAGTGCCGTCTCGCCTCGTGCAGTCTCCTTTCGCAAGAACGTGGGAGTGGCCAAGGCGCTGGGCAACAGTTCGCTCAACCTGGTCTTTCGCGTCCAATTCGACACAAACAGTGCTGCTAAGCCTCGGGTACTTTGCAGGCTCCTGCAGTATGGTGTGCCAACACTTCGTCCGCCTTTTATCGGACAAGAGGGAGGTAAGACCAAGGCGAGTGCCGACACCATGCACGTAGCCGACGCAAGTGCGAAGAAGCGCTGCTCGTATCGCACTCCGTGCTTGATGCGTTTATGCTGGGCCAACTGGCGCTCCGAGGCAAACGCCACCGAACAATCAGAGCAGGCGAACGGTCTACAGATGGGTTCCACACGCTGGTGTAGAATCCTGTCACACATAGAATCGTCGATGTAGGGGAGAGGTACATGTTGCTTCCATGTGAGCGGTTCGTCACGCATGAGGTGGCCCCACGCCTCTGGATCCTCTGCGGGATCGGGTATATTAGAACAACAACAAACGACGCTCCTTGGTTATCTTATATCCGCTTTCTGCTGGAGTGCCGTCTTGTGCTGTTTGTGCCGTCATGTGTATTTCGTCGCTTGCCTCTCCAACCATGCATATATATAGCAGATTCCAGAAATCCTGAACCCAAAAATGTTGTCATCTCTTGGGGGCGCTTCTTTTACTTCCACTGGCTTCTGACAACGGCCTCGTCTTACTTCCGCCAGCTTCAGCCGACCTTCCGCCGCCTTTCGCCGACGATGGGATGCCAACTCATTCGATCCTCGAAGGCGAGGCCATTTCTAGAGCGTTCCATATTACTGTCTACAAAATGGCTTCGGACGCCAATAACAAGCCACTGGGGGAAGGCCAAATTACTGACCGCTCTGGATTCCCATAAGGACGCCGCCGCATGGCCAGGAGGGCCCAAGAGGCATCGAAGGCGGCCACACGAGGCTCCGAGGAAGGCCTGAGGAGCCGAATACGGCCGCAGATGGCTCCAATTTGCCTCCAAGATGGACCACCAGGAAGACTCCAAGACGCCCAAGAGAGACCAACCAACGCTGAACATCTTCAGCGTCTTCCCCTGCTTTGCTCTCAAGATGTCCAATATCGCTTCAGGACGGCCCCAAGGTGGCCCCCAGAGGCCCCAATATGCCGCCCAGGTTGCCCAAGATGGCCCATCCAGACTCCGAGATGGCCCCATGATGCCCTCAAGATGGGCTCCGGAGGCCTCATGATAATGAGCCCCAATAATGCCCAAGATGCCCACCCATCTGCTCCAAGATAGCCTCAACATGGCCCAACCACAGGGATGGCGTTGTATAATGTTTGTGCTGTCTGCTTGGGCTTCGCTCGAAGGCTCCCCCGTCAGAACAGCACCTGGGCGCGTGCATCCTCTCCTTCCGAGGTCCCCCCCCCTGGGCGTCTCGACCCGTCCCCAAGGCATCCACTATGCCCAAGGTGGTTCCCCGGACAGTCTGTGAAGGCATCCGATGCCGCCAGGGGCCCAACATTGCCTCAAGCGGGGCCCGACACCCCCCGACAAGGACCCAGGAGATGCCCCGAGGGGCTCCCGAACAGCCTTGGCACCCAGGAGGTCCCTCGGAGGCCCAGAACATTCAAGCTCGCCGGGTTCTGCCTGGCTTTGCCTCCCCTTCCCCCCCCCCTTCGCACGGCTCTTCACACCTGGAGGCCGCAGGCGACCCACATAGAAGGCAATGGGCCACCCAAGCGGCCCACCAGGAGTTCCCAAACCCGCGGCCGCCTCAAGACAGCTCTCTCCTCCTCCTCGCCCTCCCCTCTTCATCTTCCTGATGGTCCTTCTCCTGCTCCACTTCCCTTCTGCTGCTCATCTTCCTATCCTTCTTACTCCTCCAGCCCCTCCTCCGCATCTCCTTCGTCGTTGTAGTCGCAGTCTTTGTCTTGAGAAGCACGAAGCGCACGGATGAGGAGGACCAGGTCGACTCGGATGGCGGACACATCTGGATGAAGACGAGGGATGAGGGGATGAGGGAGGGGTGGAGATGGATGAAGACGAGGAGATGAGGGAGGGAGATCGCGCGGTGCTCCTGCTGTTATGGGCCAGCGCGTCGAAATGCCTGTGGGCCAGGTCAAGCTGCGCCGAGTTGCTTGTGTTGCTGACGATCACAAGGTGGAGCCGCGAGGGGCAGTAGTTCCTGGCTAGAATGGGTGGGATGCGCAGATGGTCAACGTTCGGGGAGGGGGGGAGGGAGGGCGGGGAGGAAGGCAAGAGCAGAGTCAGGAGCAAGAGGATGAGGAAGAGCGTGCGGAGGAGGGGGAGGAGGAGGATGAGGACCAATGGGAACCCTAAAGTCCCCAACGATGTTGGAATAAACGCTCCCTCCAAGCTCACTCTTCGTCGGCTCCTACAACGGTTCATATCCACTGAAGGAACTGCCATGTTGGAAGACAACCGTTTGAAGACCCTGAAGCATGACTGTTGCGTCATGACGATCTTGAACCGTGCCAGAACACCGTTCCTGAGACTTCGACACCGCGAATCAGCGTAATTATTGCACCCGCATCATCCTGAACCCTTCCAAAACACGATTTCTGGTACATTGAGCGTGCGAATCCGTGCTCTTTGGAATTGTGAAAACGAATGTGCACGGCGCTAAAAACATAACCACATTTGAAAATTTAAAACGAATTTGCGCCTTGCTAAGGCAAGAACCACAATTTGAAAACCACCTGCCCTCAATCCGTGAAGCTCTTGCAAATCTTTATGACGAACGTGCGCGGCTCTAAAGCGAAAACCACATGTTGAAAACCATCCGCCTTCAACCCGTGCAACTCTTGCCAATGTCTTAACGAGTGTGCGCGGCGCTATGGCGAGAGCCACATTTTGAAAACGACCCGCCCTCCATCTGTGAAGCTGTTGTCAATGTTTAAGCTTCATGGTGGTCAATGGTGAGGAAGTCTCAGGCGAAACGCCTGGACCGCCCTAAAAACTGGCCTCGGGGTGCGACAGGGAGAAGATATGTAGAAGGAAGAAGGAATGGAGGAGGAGGAGGAGGAGGAGGAGGAGGAGGAGGAGGAGGAATGCTACATAAGATAACAAGGAAACCAATGAGCGCCAAGGAGCCAGAAGAAGTAGAGTAGCCTGTCGCAGAAATGCCTATAGTGATAGCCGCCCCAGAAGAAGATGGAGACCGATGGGCGCTTGGAGACGGGTCCAAGGGTACCGGCACTTCCGAACGGCACGCCTACGCCACGTCCTGCTCCAAGGTACTGGCCAAGGTAAGGCAGGAAGAGGAGGTTGGTGTGAGGATAGTGGGAGTGGCAACGACGTAGGAGTCGGAGACGACGTTGGAATCGGGATTGGGGTCGTATCCGGCGCGTGCGTCGGAAGGCGAAGCAGAGGGGGTATGGGAGCCGGTGTCGGAGTGTCGATGGTGGTGTCTGTAGCGGTGGTGGTAGTGGTAAGATGTATGGTTGTAGAGGGCTGTAGAAGGTTGTGCTGGTGGCCGCAGTGGCGGCCAGAATGGTGTTGCGCCTCGACGACGGGAACGTCTTGCGGAATACACTGCAACAAGAACATTTCGCAAATCCAGTGGTGCAAGCTATCGTGTCCACCGCCCCTTCGGCTCCCACCCCAGCGCTGTAGAGTCAGCGTCCTGCGGGAAACGCTGTGACAATCACGGCTACGAAATCCAGTCGTCCACGCTGTTGTATCGGGTCCATGCCTACTTTGGCATCATCTCACCATACAGCATCATCAGACACGTCCAGAATTCGGCCAAACCACGGCCAACATATCGGCATCGGATCGGGCTGCATCGGCACGCGAGCAAAGCCGCATCGGATCGGCCGCGCCAAGATGCACAACGACACCATGCAAGCAGTCATCGCGCCGCATCGGATCGCCGGGCGCAAGCCCGGCGTGCCCTGCCACAGAGGGCCGAGCGCGTGCCGGGCATCTGGTGACATGTGTACCCTGGATCGCTCAATAATCGCCCCCACCCCCCCCCTGGAGTGCTTAATAATCGCCCCCCCCTTGGAGTGCTGGAAGATCGGAATCGAATCGGAACGGGCCGGCCGGAGTCGGCATCAAATCGGATCGATCGGAGCCAAGTGGGCCCTGGCAGGAGCGGCCTGCGTGCTTGGGCCTGCCATTCCCCCGCGCTCCCCGAAGGTCCCTCTGGCGAAGGTGGGTGGCGACGTCCGAGCCCTGCCCCCGCCAACCATCGGTTCTCCTGAATCCAAGGAGGGGCGGGGGCAGGGCTCGGACTTCGCCACGCGCTCGACTCATTCCGAACCCTACCCCCGCCGCCCCTCCAGCTGCCTGAATCGTTGATCGGCGAAGGTGAAGGGGCCCTGGGACACACAAATAAATGCACACAGATAAAAAGATGTCCCATATTTTCCCATATTTTCTGGGTTTCTGTCTTCCCCCCGCCCCCTTCCCATGTTTTCCCATATTTTCTGGGGAATCGACGATTAATTGTGTCTGTGTGTTTCCTTCCCTCCTGAGAAGGCAGGGTTCGGATTTCGCCGCCGAACCCTGGCGAAGGGTCTCTCTCCTGTGCAGCCCGCCCTTCGGCGGCTCCTGCTGTGGAAGTCCTTCAGCGCGCCCTCGAGGCTCCGGCCGTGCCTCGGGTGGCGGGCGGGCGCCGGCCGCGCGGGTGCGCCTCTGGAGGCGCCCGCCGACGAGGGGCCGCCGGCGTCCAAAAACTTGGAGAGATCCCCAGGCATCCGACGAGGTGTACTTTCCGTTCGCAGCCTCAGAAGTCTCTCGACCTCGTCCTGGGTGGCAATTCGTCGTCCCGGGCTCTGCCTTCGATGATCCTGCAGCCATCGGAGCCCGAGCTGGAGAGAGAAAAGAAACGCCCGGATCGCAAACGTCGCACCGGTGTTGCTCGGGGATTTGCAGGTGGAGCCTCTGGAGGCCACGCGCGGGATGCCCATGCGCAAGCCCGGCGTGCCCTGCCACAGAGGACCGAGCGCTTGCCAGGCATCTGGTGACATGTGTACCCTGGATCGCTTAATAATCGCCCCCCCCCCATTGGAGTGCCCGGGGGGGTTTGGCCGCGGCGCGTGCGTGGGGGTGCCAGGGGGGGTCTAGGGTCCGTTCCCTTCCCCGCTGGGGCGCGGGGGTGGTGCTGGGGGGGGGGGGGTTGGCCGCGCCGCGTGCTCACGCTTGTCACCCCCCGGTCGATTCATGAGAAATTCGGAGCATCCAACTCTCGCCCAGGCCGGCCACCTCATGTGCATCCGTCCTCCTTTTGGACGCCCGAAATGGGTACGGAAAGAATGGGTACGATGCCCTTGTCCCAAACCAACAGCGGCCGCTATTGGGCAGGCGGCCTTCTGTCTCGAATGGAAACAGGCCGCGGCGGCGTGGACAGCGAATCCTGTTCAAAACCAACAGGAACTGCTGTTGGGCATTGTACCCATTCTTTCCGTGCCCCTTTCGGGCGTCCATCCTCCTGCTGGATTCTCGCAGCCGGGGGCCGGCCTCTCGCCCGGGGCCAAGAAAAAATGCCCCCGGAGGCCTAAGACTGCGAACACATTGTCGTCACGACTTGTCTGCCGATTACCCGACAGGGCAGTTTTTGATACATAGGATTTTGTAAAAAAAAATTTTAATAATGAATGATTTACGAATAAATTTATGCATGAACTCATCGTTGTTTTTAATACTAAGTCCCTTTATTTGTAATACATGATCCGCACGCGGAGCATGTATTAAAAACGGCACTGTAGGAAGAAGATAAACTCGTCGACCAGAGGGAGGCCCCAGCCCCTCGACGATCAGCCCCCCCCTTAGACGGACCCGGCGATGTCGCGGACCGGCCGATTGGCCAGGCCGGTGTCGCTCGGGGGCGTCTAAGAGGGGGGGCGTCCAAGAGGAGGGTTCGCAAATCATGGCCCGAGGGATGTGCGCGGCCCAGGGGGGGCCAGGGAACGCATTCCAATAAGAAGAGTCTAAGAAGGGGCGACATGCAATCTGGGGAGATACCATCCCTGGCCATGATCTTCAGCCACTCTTGTCGTCGACCCCCTCTTGGCCACCCCCGCGTGTGCCGACTCTGGGACCGTTCCCAGGCCTCAGGGCCGTCCCAAAAACGACTCGGGATGAAACGCGGACCCCCAGGGGAGTGGTCGAAATCCCTCCCTGGGGGCCGGCGCCACAAGCAATATACAACGTCGTCGGAGGGGGGACTCCCCTCCCCAGCCAGAGCCCTCCTTTGCAAATCCGCCGACCCTTCGGCGTGTGAGAGTGTGAGAGACGCTGTCGTCTTCGTCTTCGTCTTCGTCTTCATCTTCGCCTTCGTCTTCGTCGTGGCCAGTCCCAACGAAATCGAGGAACGAACAGAAAAAAGAAACAAAAAAGAAAAAAACATTGTGGTTGAGTCGATCTCCTTCCATTTGTTCCTTCCCTAACAGGGGGGGGGGGGAGGGGTCTTCGGGGTGGGGGGGGGGCGGCCCCAGGTCAGACTACTGCCCTGGCCCCCCCTTGGGCAAGGGGGACAAGGGTGGGGGGGTCCTGCCCCCTGCCCCCTGGCCTCGTCCCCTCCCCGGTCCCCCCCTATGGACAAGGGGGACAGGGGGAGGGGTCTTTCCTGTGGACAGGAGGAACTCAAGAACCCTCCCCCCCTCCCCCCCCCTCTTCCTCCGGTGCGCGAGGAGGCAAAGGGTGTGGTCCCCCTGTGGACAGGGGGAGCTCAAGACCCCTCCCCCCCCCTCCCCCCTCTGAACAAGGGGGCACGGGGACCACCCCCTCCGGGGGGGTCGCCAACGGGGGTCCCGGGGGAGGTCCCGCCTTTCAGGGTCGGCGGCACTGGCCGTAAGGCCTTCACCATAGTCTAGAGCCCCAATCTCGTCATCAGCATCAAGCACCGTCTCACCTCTCCATGAGATGATTTGCGACGGTGCAACGCCGAACAACTGCAACGCAATGAAGCAGTGCAGCGCAGCAACCGTAGCGCAAGACAACTCCATTGCGATCGTGGTCGTCGTTGCCGTGGCCGTCACAGCCACCACGACCCGTGCCGTGGACGCCTGGCATCCCGCCTGTCGGCGGCCCGAGCGGCAGGCTTTTGACGTACTACGCTTGTCAAATCGGACTGTTTTGGGGGGGGGCGGGGAGCGCGACCACCGGATCTCGCCTCATCGCGGCTGTATGAGTGAGCGACAGGGAGGAACAGGGAGGAGGGGGGAGCCCCGGCATGGCGAAGAGGAAGAGGGGGAGGACGAGCGACCTCTCGGGGCTAGCAGATCCAGCGGGGTGCCTCCGCAATCGCAGCGAACTCTCTCCTCCGCCTCCGACGCCGCCGAGGGCCCCCCAGGACCGGGTGCGCGGAGGAAGGGGGCCAGGAAGAGTGACTGGTGCAGCACGCACCAGGGGATGCACTGACAGGATGGAGGAGGAGGAGGAGGAGGAGGAGGGGGAGGAGGAGGAGAAGGAGGAGGATGAGGAGGAGGAGGAGAAGGAGGAGGAGGAGAAGGAGGAGGAGGAGGAGGGAGGAGGAGGGAGGAGGAGGAGGAGGAGGAGGAGGAGGAGGAGGAGGAGGAGGGGAGGAGGAGGAGGGTGGGCAGTGAGATCTGACAACTTCTATGCTCCTGGCCACGGAAAAAGCCGTCGGGAACTGTTGCTTCGCGGGTCGCCGCTGCGGCCCCGTGGGCCAGAACCAGGGGGCAAACAAACCTACCTCGCTTTTGACCACCCTCGCTTCCAAGAGATACCAATCGATGCCAGACTACGGCCTGTACTGGTCAGGCCGCTTGACGAGGAGGCGCGTGGTATGACTTGGTTGTGCCTGGAAGCGAAAGCGGGGTAGGTAATTCACGCTCTGAAGAACCAACGGCGCGCGAAGCCAAAGTCCCCGACCGTGCAGTGGTGGCCCGACCACGAGGAACCCTACGCAAGAAACCCGACCCTGAGACCCCAGGACGTCCACTGATCTTTGGCGTGGGCACGTCACGCCTTCCGTAGCAGAACCATCGAAACCCAAGAAACCCAGGGCACCCTGGAGGCGAGCAGGGTGTTTCTTGCCATGGGTCGCCACTGCAGGCCATCCTGCTCCTCACCCCTCTCCGCAGCGATCCAGGTGCCCTGTTCTGCTCAGCGCGCAGTCCCACGGCCTCTCGGCCCCTCCCCTGCCCTGGCTCTGCGCCCCTGGCTTAAAGAGGTGTTCGACGGCCTGGGAGCCCGACGACGGGCCTCCGACGCCGAAGACGGCACAACAAGCAACAGCCCGAGCCTCAATCTTTTCGAGCCGCGGGGATGTCTGGATCGCTCTCGCCGCCTCGAGCCACAGATGTTTCGACCCCTAACCCCAGGGGCATCTTCGTTCGCCCTGGGGCCCGAAAAGCGGACTCCTGGGGCAGAGGCGGGAGGAGCGGTGCCAGCATGGAGACAGACACCCCCCGCCCCCGACGGCCAGCTACAAGCAAGGGCGACCCCCAGGCGAGAGTGACCTCTGGTGCGCAGCTAGCCGATCGCTGCACGCGATGCGGCAGTAGCAGCCTGCGTGCGCGGGCGGGGGAGGAGGAGGAGAGGCGGACCCGCCTCTCCCAGGAGCGTGCGGACACGCCACCGGGCGCCTGCCGCCGATCCGTCGTGCCCCCCCGCCCTCCTCCTCCTCCTCCTCCTCCTCCTCCTCCTCCTCCTCCTCCTCCTCCGCCCTCCTCCTCCGCCCTCCTCCTCCTCCTCCTCCTCCTCCTCCTCCTCCTCCTCCTCCTCCTCCTCCTCCTCCTCCTCCTCCTCCTCTCCTCCTCCCCCCCATGGCCCCCCCACGCGCCCTCCGAAAACCGCGCGTCAAAGGTCACTCCTGCGAGGGGTTGCTCCTACCGGTGGCCGGTCTGGCTTGCGGGTCACAAAAGCCGGGTCTCCCGCGGCCGTGCGGGGCGCTTCGGGCACCCCCAGAGCGCCCTCGGCCGGGCGCAGCTGCGGGGACGCATCCCGAGGCGGGGACACCTGCAGGCGCCGACGAAGTCGTCCGAGGCAGACGCCGGCGTGAGCGCCACGAGCACAGGAGGGGTGGCGCGAGGGGGGCTGCCTTCAAGGAGGGGAGGTGATCCTCAGAAGGCGGGGCCTTCTCAGAAGGCTTCTACTTACCAGCCTGGAACATATCCCTATCCCTATGCTGGGCATCTCCTCATCACGATGCCAATCTTAAGGATTTCCTTATTTTTTGAGGGCGAATCTCTAAGATTGTCATCGCCTTTTGGCGTGTCAATCTTAGGGATAGGGATACGTTCGAGGCTGGTAATCTACGACAACTCTTCAGGACCCCCCCCCCGTGCCCTGCTGAGATGCCCCCCGCCCTCCGAGAGGCGCCGCCGCCTGCTTAGAAGGCCGCTCCCCGCGTGCGCCGCCCCCGTGCGCGCGCCGCCCAAAGCGGGCGAGGCCGGAGGCCCCGGGAGGTCAGCCCTGGCGGCGCTCCAAATCCTCGCGCCCCCCCTCTGCCCCCCAGGGGAGGATCCCAAGAGTTCGGCGCCCCCGCGCGCGCGCCGCCCAAGGCGGCCGAGGCCTGAGGCCCCGGGAGGTAAGCCCTGGCGGCGCTCCAAATCCTCGCGCCCCCCCCTGCACCCCCAAGGGGAGGACCCCGAGAGTTCGGCGCCCCCGCGCGCTGCGACTCCGGCCCGACTCCTCGTGCGGGGAGAGTCCTCCTCGTCCACCTCGCCCTCTTCGCCATGCCTCCTCCTCCTCCTCCTCCTCCTCCTCCTCCTCCTCCTCCTCCTCCCCTTCCTCGTACCTCTCCTCCGCCTCCTCCTCCTCCTCCTCTTCCTCCTCCTCCTCCTCCTCCTCCTCCTCCTCCTTGTCGTCATCGTCGTCGTCGTCGTCGTCGTCGTCGTCGTCGTCGTCGTCGCCGTCGCCATCGCCGTCGCCGTCGTCGTCGTCGTCCTCCTCCTCCTCCTCCTCCTCCTCCTCCTCCTCCTCCTCTTCCTCCTCCTCCTCCTCCTCCTGCTCTTCCTCCTTCTCCCTCTCGGGGCGGATTGCGGAGGTGGGAAGCGAAGCCGCCAGCGGCCTCTCAGGCTCCGTCTTGAGCGTCTCCAGGTCCCCGGTTGCGAACTGGAACGGCCGCAGGGAGGCGGGGGCAGATGGGGCGGATGGGGGAAGGGGGAGGGGACCCGAGGAGGGAGCAGGAGGGATGACTCCCTCTTTCCTGCTGCCCCTCCTTTCTCGCTCTCCCCCCAGGCGCGGGCGGAAGGGGGGAGGGAAAAGGGAAGAGGGACGGGGAAGAGGTAGGTGGGGAGGGGGCAGGGACAGGGAGGTGGAGGGCGAAGGGCGAAGGAAGAAAAGTATGAAGAGGTGGCGGGCGAAGGGGGAAGGGAGAGAGAAGAGAGAGATGGAGGCGGGAAGGTGGAGAGAGGGATGGGATGGATAGGGAGCGAACCGTGGTAGGAAACGAGAAAGGAACGCGAGGAGTGTCTGGAAAAGGGTAGCAGCATGAGGGAGGAGATGGGCGGAGGCTGGGGCAGGGGGGAACAACTATGGATGAGGATGAGGAGAAGCATGAGCAGGAGCAGGAACAGGATGAGGAAAAGGAGGAGGACGAGGAGAAGAAAGAATGCTTGGAGGAAAAAGCGGGTGGACGGGTGCTGTCCAAACGATTCCCGACCTAGGTTCTGCCTAGAACGGTTCTTACCCTCTAGCTTAAACGGACCGGGCAGTGGACCCCACCCCAGGCGGATCCCCCGGTCCCCTGGGAGCGGCCCCTCCCAGTCCCAGGGGAACTTTAGCTTTGGTTTTAGCTCTAGCTTGCTCGAGGTCAACTTTAGCTTAGCTTTAGCTTAGCTTCAGCTTAGCTTTAGCTTAGCTTTAGCTTAGCTTCAGCTTAGCTTCAGCTTAGCTTCAGCTTAGCTTCAGCTTAGCTTCAGCTTAGCTTCAGCTTAGCTTCAGCTTAGCTTTAGCGTAGCTTTAGCTAAGCTTTAGCTGAGCTTTAGCTTCAGCTTAGCTGTAGGCCAGCTCTAGCTTAGCTTTAGCTGAGCTTTAGCTCAGCTCTAGCTTAGCTGCACCTTAGATTGAGCTTAGCTTTTGCTTAGTTTTAGCTTAGCTCTAGCTTAGCTGTAGCTTAGCTTCAGCTTAGCTTCAGCTTAGCTTTAGTTCAGCTTTAGCTTACCTTTAGCTCAGCTCTAGCTTAGCTGCACCTTGGCTTGAGCTTAGCTTTAGCTTAGCTTTGCCCTAGCTTCAGCTTAGCTTTAGCTTAGCTTTAGCTTAGCTTTAGCTTAGCTTCAGCTTAGCTTCAGCTTAGCTTCAGCTTAGCTAGCGTAGCTTTAGCTAAGCTTTAGCTGAGCTTTAGCTTCAGCTTAGCTTTAGGCCAGCTCTAGCTTAGCTTTAGCTGAGCTTTAGCTCAGCTCTAGCTTAGCTGCACCTTATATTGAGCTTAGCTTTTGCTTAGTTTTAGCTTAGCTCTAGCTTAGCTGTAGCTTAGCTTCAGCTTAGCTTCAGCTTAGCTTTAGTTCAGCTTTAGCTTAGCTTTAGCTCAGCTCTAGCTTAGCTGCTCCTTAGTTTGAGCTTAGCTTTAGCTTAGCTTTGCCTTAGCTTTAGCTTAGCTTCAGCTTAGCTTTAGCTTAGCTTTAGCTTAGCTCTAGCTTCGCTTTAGCTTAGCTTTGGCTTAGCCTCTCCTTAGCTTTACTGTTACCACTAATGCTGCTTTCCTAGGGGCTCCAACTCGAAGGTAGGGTAGCGCTGGGATATTTTTCTCGGAATGCCTATAATGTCAGCGGGGGCGGAAGACGGAGGGAGGACGGATGCTGCTGCTGATGAACACGATGATGGTGGACGAGGAGGGTGATCATGAGGACGATGGATCATGCCGTGGGTAAATATGCATGGGCGGGCGGTAAATGGGGGAGCGCGCGGACGAGGAACGGGATGTGGACGTGCATATACGGTGTACGTGTGCGATGACCAGGACCTTGTCAGACAGAGCGCGGCGAGGTTGACTGAGGCAGGAAGGGCGAAAACATCGAGACCCTCCCACGCCACCCCCGCCCGCTGCGCATTGCTGCCATGCAAACATATTTGGGTCCTGCCATGGCGGTGGCCGCGCGGCACAGCACCCCATGGGGGCCATGCAATTCGTCTGCGCCGACGCAAAATTAAGCCACATGGCGCAGCGCCGCGCGCGAAGGGAGCAGACGGCAAGGCGGAAACCACCGAATTACGCGTAGCACTTTACCTCGGGCACAACATGAGCAAAGAGGTGACGGGCTCATGGCAGACCGGCGTGGTCCACTGCGCCAGAGCGCGCGCGCGGCGACTGGGCCAAACACCAGCCATGGGAGGCCAGCCAGACAGCAGGAAGCACTGGCCCTACCGTCTTGCTGGCACTGGAAAGTGCCCTGCACGCGCGCCAGGCGGCAAGCGGCGGGGCGCGCGACGGTCAGAAGCGCAATTGGCAAAATGCCTGCGCGCTTGGGCACTGTGTGGGAGGCAATAACAAAGACGGCCTCGCAAGTGCGCTCGGGCAAGCAAATTGGAACCAAGCGATCTCGGGGTCGCCTGCGCGTAACGGGCTCGGAATCTTAAGCGGCCCCACCCCCCCGCTTGGGCGGCGGCCCTCAATGAATCTGGTGAGCATCCTCCTGCGCTTGCTGCCTTGGGTGTTCTCGTCAGGCTGGCACGCTGCCCTTGGGTCGCAGCAGGAGCTCGCGCCGTGCGCCCCGCATCTGATGCGCCCGACCACGCTGCCTGCTGCCCCCCCGCGACGAGGCTGCATCCATGAGCTGCAGCAGGCGGCGCCGCGACCGCAGGGCCGCTAGGCAGCAGCTCCGTCGGCGCCACTCGACCCGCCTGGCTGGCGGCGGCTCCGCGAGCACGCTCAGCTGGCGGCGCCTTCGCCTGGCCCTCCAACCTGGCTGCCTTGGGCGGCGAAGGGGCGGCGAGCGTGCCCGACGCGGGCAGGCGGCCGGGCCCCTCGAGCTCGTGCCTGCTCCCGCGGCTGCCCGCGGCTCTCGCAGATGATGGCCTCGGGGCGCCGCCCTCGACCTCCCCTCGTGGTGCGCGTCGCCCCTGACAGCGGCAGCGCGCGCAGCGCGGTCCCCGAAACGATCGCCCTCGGCGCGGTGTTCGTCGATGGGCTGGGGTCGTCACAGCGGGTCCGCTTGGTGTCCTCCGCGTCCCACTCGTCGATGTCGTCCCAGCTGCTGCGCTTGAGGCATGACTCGATGGCGTCGACTGCTTGCTGCACCTCGGTGTCCGACGCGCGGTGGCACTTGAGGGGCCCGTTGTCGCCGTGGGCGGCAGACGACTTGACGCGCGCGCGCCGATGGTGGGCTGGCTGCCAAGGCCCATGGCGCCCTTGCTCAGGTCCATCATGCCCATCTCGTGCAAGCCTCTCGCCATGCAGTGCTGCTGCTCGAGCTTCCTGCGCCGTCAGCGCGGTCGCGCGGCGCCGCGCGCGCCTCCCCGACCGCCCGACAGAGGGGGGAGCGAGTGAGTGCGTGAGGTGCGACTTCGGCCCGCCCACCAGCACCGTCGTTGGTCGTGCTTGCCCTTGCGCCTGCCGTCAGACG